AGGATCTGCTTTGCCAAGTGGTATTTGGGAGCAGCCAGGCAGCAGATCTGTGCAATTATGCTAAATATCTATCCCAAATATTCAAGTCAATGAAGATCATACCCAAAGGGCTATGAACCAATCAGCTGTGTGTGAACACCGGGGAGAGACAGAGGCCAGTACCCAAATGCCGTCCTTACTGGCTCCAGAGCATCACTGTTCACACGCTGATAAAATAAACTCTGAGTCCTACATCCAGCCAACTTTTTAACCAAATTTTGCTTCAGTTGCCCATTGAGATGGATATTCTTAGGCTTATCTACCTGTCAGATTTGACACTGCTGGTTTCCAACACATAACAGCACTTTTCATCTATGGAATAGCCCTAATCAAAAACTCTGCAGCCTTTTCAGCCTGCCATGACAAACTGGTTAGAATTCAACTGCTGCTCAAGACTGAGGAGCAAAGCTGGGAGCAAGGTCCTTCTGACATGAATGTGCTGACAGACTTGGCTGGTTACAGCCTCACTGCCTGCAGATGATCATCCCTGCAAGAGGGAGTTTTGTTTGGCAAGATGGACCAGAGTCACTGATGATGACAATAATTACCTGGAAGCAGAAACATCTCCTGTCCGCAGGGAAGACAGCTTGCATTATTCGTTGGATTAGACATTATTTTGTTAACTTCTGGGTCATTTTGGTCTCCACTGATTTAAAAACAGACAGAACCAACTACTGGAACATATGACAGTACCAGTTCAAAGAGAGGGGAAACCAGGCAATGTTCCTCTTCCCCACATAACCCATTTGACAGCACAGCTGTAGGTGTCACTGTGCAAGAGCATTCAGTTTTGTTAGTCAAATTTCTACCACACAATTAATTTATGAGTCAGTGGTAGGTACATCAGAATGGGATCTTTCAGCTCTGTTCACACATGCAAAGTGACAGGCTGCGGCTGGCTGCATTAATCCCAAGTGGATCATCTTGTCTAAAGAACACCAGAATCATCCCAGATGTACATGTCCAATGGACGGCCATCAGAGCGCACTCACAGAGGGTCTCACATCTCCTTCCTGTTGCACATCCTCACCCAAGAGGATTCTTCTGTTTATGCCAGGATAATCAGAAATCTACTTCAAGAGCCTCTCTGCACATCAGCCTCCTACCAGCAAGAGGAGAGCTCTGCCAGCCAGCACCTCCTTGAAAGAGTACGGTGAGGCAGCCCACATTTACAACTGTCCCTAGCGCGAGCAGAGGCAGCAGCACATGCCCTTGAGGAGCCAGAGCCTGATCATTCGTCTGGGGCTTTCAGAGCTACAGAGCCAGGAACATCTCATAGGAACATCTGCAGGTGCTTGAGCTGCTCCCATGCGCAGACATGCAAGTGGCTGGCGCAGGGCAAGGTTTTAGCAAATCAGACTGGCCGTCCTCATTTCCTCATGCCTGCTCAGACTTCAAAGCACGGCCTTAGGAAGGGCAGGAACAGTTTATCTGAAATCCCTCTGTTCTTTTCTGCTACTGAACTGGAAGGAGAATTTGCCAACCCCTCTTCTCCTGTGGGAAAACATGAAGGAGGTATTTCTGTTTCCAGGTAATTATTGTCATCACCAGTGACTGATCTCAGAGAGAGCAGGGACATGGCATCAGGGCCTTGGGGGCAGTAGCACTATGCAGACAGGGGCTGCTGTGCTGTTTTCCCCACACCACCCCACTGCCATGTCACACGGTTCCTCGCTGCTCCACAGACACAAGCACACAGCCTGCCCTGTCCCTGATCTGCTCTCTGAAGCTAAAGCCTCCATTCCCAACCTGCTCGTCTGCTCTTCTGGCAATCACAGCATCCACGTGCAGGGCTGTCACCACAGCCTGGCAAGGCTGCAAGACTGGAGCGAGGCAAAAGGAGCTTGTTTGTAGGTTATGGGAGGCGGTGAAAAGGAGTGTGCTGCTGCGACGTCAGGAATGGGGCCAGGCTGCAGAAGGCTGAGCCAGCCCATATGCTTTAACACCCTCCGCCCCCAGCACCACATTTACCAGATGTTCAAGCACACACTTTTGATTCATCCCATTGCAAAGGTTGGAAACATGTAAAGATGAAGATCCAAGCACAGGCTGTCACCCTCTCCAAAAAATGAGAGTGTTTGGAGATGAGGTTTTACTTAAAGATCATCAAACCAGGGGAGGGGGCAGCACCCACAACATGGTTCAAGTCTGAAACACAGCCTTTGCCAGCATGGAGTTTGAGTAAATGTCTTTGACATAGGAGAAAGTGGAGGGAAAGCAGATGCCCGAGCAGAACCTCACCTCCTTTCCTCAACCCATATCCACCTGTGAGCAGGAGCAGGCTGTGCCTCCTGCCCATCCACCACGCAGGAACTGTGTGTGCCTCAACGCACTGTTTGATTTCAGCTGTACCACACCAGCACCGCCTGCCTCAAGCCCTGTTTGAAGCTGGAGTGGAGCCGAGCGGCGCTCCGAGGATTGCAGTGTCATCCACAGCCCTTCCCAGCAGCCACGCAGAACGGCTGCGGGTTCCCTGCACTGGGCTCCCTGCGTGCCCCGTGCTTCGGGAAAGCCTCCTCCCCAGAGAGCTGGAAGCTCCATTAGCCTTAATAGCACCTACATTTGAACAAGGGGAGAAGCTGTCATACAGCATTCATCGTGCCGTTCTGTTAACAGCCCACACTGTACCCATGTGAGCTGTTGCAGGTTCCATCCCCTTTGGACCATCTGATCTGCTTTCAGAGGGATCTGCACATGAAGAATGCTCTTCGTATTCGTGCCAACCGCAGGCATCTACCTTCTGAGCAGCTTTTGGAGCACACAATGTATTTGGTGTATCAGAAATATATTCTTCCCTCTATTATTCCTCCTTCCTCTCCCTCTTCCTCCTCCTCCTCCTTCCTTTCCCATCTCTGAAGACTCCCTCTGGCCATGCATCTCACAGGAGTCATGCCATGTCTCTGCACAGGCCACCTCTGCATCTGCCTAACCACTTGGATAAGACACCTCCCGTGCTTAGGCCCATTAACCTGCTCACAACAGCCTGATGAATTAATGCTTCTGTAGACACAGTCGGCAGCTTCTAATTAAGTAACTATGGCTAAGCAGCTGCAGAGAAGTTGTAATGCCACCAGAAACCCAGATGTCAATTTTATTGGTCCTCAAAGTTTCAAATGCAATGATTTGGGGAAACTTGGTATGAACTGACATTGGGAAACGTGGGAAGGGGGTTCTTTCCCTCCCGGGGCGTTCTGAGCCAGCTCTCAGGCTGCAGCCAGACCCCGGGCACGTGGCTGGAGAACCTCTGCAGCCCACCAGCAGCTTCAGAGCCAGCAGCCATGGCACGGAGCGCAACAGAGCGAGGAGCATCGAGCTAAAAAAGAATGGTTTGGCATCACGGTCGCTGCTTTTGCTTTTACCTGGGGAAGGACCCTTTGGAAAACCCATCTCTGAAACTGCAGCAGTGTCAGAAGTCCACAGAACCGGCATGAGCCAAAGGCAAAGCCTGTTGCACTGGGTAAGGGTTTCCAGGAACCTGAATGGGATCGGGCTTCCCCTGCACTGGTGAGAGAAGATTTGTGACACCTACTCTAGACTCCCACTCTCCAATGCTCCCAAGGCACCTCTGGGTACCCAGCCCTGGCTGGAGCAATGTGGGAGCAAACCCTAAAGGGATTCCTAAAGGTAGGAATTTGAGTAACACAAAAATGGAGCCTGTGTTTGCTGACTCATGCAAACCCCACTTCCATCCCCTTCAATAAGCAAACCCTGGTGCTCACAAAGAACTCATTTTTTTTCTGATTCTATATACAAATGCTAACACAATTTATCCTAATCCATTCCTTTAACTACAGTAATTCTCCTCTGAAAATTTGTACAAGACACTGCGATTTCAAGCAGGAGAAGCCTAATAACAGAACTCATCCATCGCTGTTGGAATATAAGCGGATCCATGACCTTAGAACCATTTTGCTAAGAAATCCAGCTAGAAAACTAATTTTAAGTAAATCTATGCACGTCAGAAATACAGATGGCTTCAGGATGCTAACTTAAGCACCATTACATAAGCAGCTCAGGGCTGCCTGTTGAGCCCAGACACCAGAGTAGATGGTGCTGACTCCGGTATCACACACAAACTGTTCACTTCCCAATACATCTTTCATCCCAAACTTTTGCCATCTCTCCTTGGTACCAGCCTGGTCCCGGTGAGCCTCGCACACAGTGCCCATGGCAGAGCACCACCTTCCCCAGCCCTGCTGCCAATGCAGCCGCTGCCTGAAGCCCATTTCTACCAATGGGCTGGGAAATGCCCCATCCTTCTCCCTCCCAAAATGAAAATGGAGGAAGAGCCACATGAGCCTCTCAAATATTTAAGCACAGCAGTTGTGGAATGACGTTCTGGTATGGAATTATAGAATCAGAACTACCCTGGAGTTACCATTGGTAACGGTGCCTCTACCTGAAGAGCAACTTAGGAAGTTAATGAGCCTGCCAGAGCTATCAGGTGAAATCACCACAACATCATGCGATCCGCTGTGACTGCGGGAAGCAGGGCAGGTACTGCCCATTCTGAGGCCAGTTTGGTTCTCACAGGGGTGTTGCATAACACGGCACAGCAATCGCATCCTTCTGCCCCGAGCCCTCATTCCAGAGCACCCCGGCTGGCTCCGAGGAGGCTCCCTGTGGAAAAGCAGCCAGGGACGGGATTTTGTTTTCCCTTCCCTGCGGGCAAGCGCTGACAGATGGCTTGGCTGACTGCGCCTGACTATTACCAAGCAGCCATTACCTTTGGAAATGGAATCCCAGCTCAAGACTTTCTGTAATTAACTCTGCAGGGTCTTCGCAAGGCTCAGACTCCATCCCGCGCCGCCTCGAGAGCGTGCGGGGCGCTCAGACGCGTGATTTACACCGGCGGAGCAGGAGCACCCTCCAGCCACAGGGCTGGGTGCTTGCGGCAGTCTGTGCTGCCACCTAGCCAGGACCAAGCCACCGGGCTCGGCCTTGCCTTACACTGCGAAAGCTTAACCCGAAGCATAACCCCAGATCTCAGTGAGCCTCAGAGCGCGGCAGGCGCTGGGCTTTGAGAACGGTACGGTCAACAGAAGGCAGCAGCTTAAAGCAGGTCGTATTTCCCTCAGAAATGGCTTGTACTTACGGTAGAAGACATATTCGGTGTAGCTGGACCAGACCTTGTCATCTGTGTACTGGTTGACAAAGGAAGCTGTCACCGAGGAGTTACAGGCCACCATGTGGAATCCACACTCGGATAACATGTCGAAAGCCCTTTCCAGGTGCTTGAACTTGAGATAGAACCGGGAGGTGTACCTCTCTGGAGCCCTGTCTGGGTCTCTGCTTTCATTCAAACTTTCTCCAAAGACCTCTTTGACCAGAGCAATCCTTCCACAAACCAAAATCCTCGGGACCCTCCTGAATTTGGCATCTGCTTGACTCTCCCTGCCCACAGTGCAGGACCCCCGGTACCCGATGGTAATGAATCCCCACTTGCGATCAGGCGGCAAGAGCGACGAGGGGGGGCATATTCTTGTGTCACTGCCTTGGGAGACCTCTTCATAGTCACTGTGGCAAAAATCATCAGGGCTTTGCTGCTTGTCATCGGGAGTCAGGAGTTTGACCAAGTCTGGGAGCTGGAAGTACTCGGCCTCCCTCTTGAGCCTGCCCTTCTCTGGGAAGTGGTCAGGCAGAACCACTTGCTTGTCCCTGAGATAGTCCAGAATGTAGCGGAAAAGGAAACCGTCTCTGTCGATGAAGAATCTTCCCTTGGAGTCCTTGGCCAGATCATTGGCCGTGTCTCTCTTTGGGGTGAACATCTTCCAGAGCAGGGAGTGAGGGGTGCCAACCAAGGTGGAATGGCGAGTGAAGTAAACCTGGCCACCCACATTTAGCTCCACGACCTCTGGGAAGGAGTGCAGCCCCGACCCCTGCTCTCGAGAAGGAAGGTAAGTCCTGCAGTTGCCACTCAGAGCCATCGTACTTCAAAACAGAAATCAGCAGCAGGAAGCAGCAGGACTATCAGTCACATTAAAGAGTAGAATAAAGCTTCCAACACGGAGGAGAAACAGGGGCAAAGGGGAAGTGAGAAAAGAAAAACAGCCAAAAGGTTTGGTTAAAAAAAAACCCAAATTGTCCATGAGTGACAGGGAGGCAGAAGTGGCTTCTACCCTAAGCCACAGAGGCTGGAGAGCAATCACTTCACGAAACGCAATCACATTACATCTTCCAACAAAGCCATCAAAATCAAGGTCAAGCCAAGCCTATGGTTCTTCATGGGTCTGTCAAAAGGGAAAACAAAACAGGACACAAATTACGCTTTTAAGCATCACAGAAGCTGCATCAGAGAAAAGCAGCCCAGTTTAGAAAGCCAAGCCAGGTCTCCTGCTAAATAGGTCTGGCATCTTGCAAGTTCTACACTGCTTTTTCACAATCACTAACAAAGGAAGGACCACATATGACTCCACCGATTAAAGGAAAATACATCATCTTTAAGGAAACATCTCATTTAGACATGCACATGAGGGAACAAGAACACCGAGCCTTACCTTGGTTACAGTCAATGCACAGCTCTTGGGAAGGAAAGCAAAATCTCAAGACACTCAGAACACACAGACAGGCACACAGAGTCCAGCGAGTACGAAATCCGATCCCAGCAAGGGGCAGCAAAGGCAGGAAAAGTGCTCTTAGCAACATCCGTGGAGGTCTCAAGAGTTAACCCGAGTCACAAGTTAACCGTGGCAGGTGAGGACAGAAACCAAAGCACACAGCACGACGGGGAGAGCAAGAAACCCCCCCAGCAACCCCCGAGTGAATCAGACGGGGCTCGGGGAGCACGGGCCGGGGGGGGGGGGCGCGTTCCGGCAGCCTCAGATGACTTGCAGAAACCCTGCAGCCGGCGCTAAGGGCTGCGGGGCTCCGGCGGCTCCGCGGCGGGCGGCACAGCCATCGCCCCGCCGGGGCCACGGGGGCCGGGGCCGCTCCGCGGGGGTCCGCTCCCGCTGCCGGCGCTGCGAGGCTCTGCTCGGCTCCGCGCTGCTCCGCTCAGCGGCGCGGGGCCGGGAGCGCGGCGGGCGATGCCGATTGCATCATCTTAAAGGAGTCGGGCCGGGACCGGGCGAGCGCCGGGGGCAGCCCGCGGACAGCGCCAGGACCGAGACAGCGCCGGGCCGCGGCCGCCCCGCTCGACTTCGGGTGAAGTTCGTCCCGCTCCGCTCCGTCCCCTCCGGCCGGCAGCGCCCGTCCCCCGCCCGCCCGCCGCCCGGACGTGCCTTTGCCGGCTCCGCGCAGCCACCGCCGCGGTCTCAGCCGGCGACGCGGGCGGGCGGGGCGGGGGATCCCGGCGGGAGGGGGCTCCCAGCGCGCCCGCCCGTGGCTGTGGGGCAGGACCGTGGGTTCCCCCCGCTGCTGGCGCTCCGCATGTCCCCGGGGAGGGCCGGAGCCCCCCGAGAGCCGATGCGGGGGCGCGGCGGGAGCGGTCCCGCACCCCCGTGCGCTCTGACGGGAGATGGGGACGGGGCGGGGGGAGCGGTCGGGGCTCCGCGCGCCCCCCGGCCCTGCGCGCACCCGCAGCGCCACCTGGCGGCGTTGGGCGATCGCGCAGAACCGGCCCGGCGGCTGCGAGCGGGCGCGGAGCGGAGCGGAACCGAACCAGGGAGCGGGCGGCGGCGCCGGGACCCGGGCGGTAACGGCGCAGCCCCGGGCCGGGAGGCACCGAGCGGCCGCCGGAAGGAAGCTGTGAGGTGCGGTGAGGGGCTCCCCGCATCGCGCCCGCCTCGGCCCCCGCAGCCGGTCACAACCGCACCGCACAGCCCAGGTCTGCGTCCACACGCACCCGCTCCGACAGAACCAGGTTACTGGTGGGGATGAAGATGGAGCTGCTCGAGCAGTTCAGAGGAGGCCACGGAGCTGCTGCGAGGGCTGGAGCAGCTCTGCTCTGGAGCCAGGCTGAGAAACCTGGGCTGGGGCAGCCTGGAGAAGAGAAGGCTCCTGAAGGGGAGACCTTAGAGCAGCTCCAGTGCCTAAAGGGGCTGCAGGAAACCTGGAGAGGGGCTTGGGACAAGGGCCCGTAGGGACAGGCCAAGGGGAATGGCTTGAACCTGCCCGAGGGGAGACTGAGCTGAGCTCTTAGGCAGAAGCTCTTCCCTGTGAGGGTGCTGAGGCGCTGGCACAGGGTGCCCAGAGAAGCTGTGGCTGCCCCATCCCTGGCAGTGCTCAAGGCCAGGTTGGACACAGGGGCTTGGAGCAAGCTGCTCCAGTGGAAGGGGTCCCTGCCTGTGTCAGGGGGTGGAGCTGGAGGAGCTTTAAGATCCCTTCAACCCAAACCAGGCTGGGATCCTGTGATTCTATAATAAATACAAGCATTTCACTCAAACCCTAACCAAGAGCTGGAGGGGCAGCCTCAGAGTGAAATCTGCATGTGAGGAAGCCCCTGTGTGCAGCCTGGCTTTGCTGACTGCTGAAGTTGCAGATATTTCTGTGAGATTCGTCTGAAAACATGGCCATAATTTAAAAGAGTAACAGTGAACACAACCTGCTGGTGCCACAGGCACAACTTTTAATGCTAACGCAGGAAAACAGTAATTTTTGCTTTCACAGACTTTTCAAATTCAAATGTGAGAGCTGAACAATCACGCCCTCGAGTTTGACCTCAGGGGTATGGTCAGTGAGGGGCTTTAACACCTACAATGAGTGGTGAAACACTGGCTTCCTTTGAGAGCTGGTGCTGCCCCTGTTCAAAGCAAGGAGCATCACAGCAGCTTTTCAAATCCTGGACGTATTAATGCTAGTTAACATCCTGTGATAATATTTATATCAGTTTTCATAAAGCCAGGGATGCTACAACTGGCAGGGCTTGAAGGATCTGCCCAGTAAAAACTGATCCTTGTTCAAATACGCCCCTTGTGAGCCCACAGAATGGTCATGATCCAAACCACGAGGCAAAGAACAACCTGGCAGAAGGCTTGGGGGCTGAGTGGAGACAACTTGGTACCTCTAATATGCAGATGGGAGGTCATATAAAACCTGTGACTCCTGACAAGCTTGTGTGCAGCACCCTGAGACCGTGTGAGGAGCTGATGCTGCCAGATTGAAGCTCCCAGTCTGTTTAAAAATTATAACCCTTTGAAAAGAACAAAACCTGTGGAATTTTGATCACAACAGCGTTAGAAATGCACCTGCACTTTTCAAATAATAAATGAAAGGAATTCAACACCTGCTTTTATTTCTTTACACCGGACATTCCCATCATTTTACTGTAACATAATTTCCTTTGATGGAGTATTTCAGTAATAAAAGCATCCCATAATGCTTCCCAGCTCAGTACAAGCCATTGGCCAAATCCATCAGCGTTGCAGCCGCAGGAGAGGGAAACCGAAACACTCTGTGCCCCACAGGTAAGGCACATCAGGGCCGTGCAGCCGCAGCTCCCATGCAGCTCCATTGCAGAGCTCTGTGGCTCTGTTGGGAAAGGGAAGCAGCTCCCGTGGAGGGGAAGGTGAACAGATGCTGTACAGCCTCCAGCACAGCGAGGGGAATATTCAGCCTCAGCTGAGGTGCATGTTCCAAAGTCAGAGCAGAGCTATCCTTAAACCCGGTGCACCAGCGACGTGACATCATTCCCAGGGCTGAGGTCACTCCTGATGTCAAAGTGCTAAATTAGCATCCGTGCTTTCAGGAATCATGGCACAACTGACTCCATCGCGTTCCGTGGGTGCTAAAAAAAGGTGTCCCAGAAGAGGCAGCGGTGAGTGTTAGAAAGCAAGGGGAGTACCCAGCGAGGTGTGCAGTAGCAACGCTATGTGTGCAGCTCCCTTCCATCCTGCGTATCAGTACACAAGCTATAAATACAATCGAGTCGCCCATGTGTCACGAGCAATAGGAAGCTGTTTATCAGCATTTAGCAACTCCATGCAGACACTGAGGAGCTCCAAGCAGCACCGACTGGAAGTACCAGAAACTGAAGGAGTAATTCTGGAAAGAAAAAAAAAAGAAGCTAAGTTGGATTTTGAACAGAAGATTTCAGCTAAAAAGCCACATGGGAACTTTCATCACTCTGGGTGGATTTTACACACAATAATTCACAGAAAAGGAAGAAAGAAAACCCATACTCCCAGCTCTAGGCTTCTGCTTTGGTTCAGAAATGGTCTGAAGGTGCCACCCAAGGATCCTCCAGCCACATCTGCTGTAACAGCCAGCTCTCCTCAGCAGTCTCCAAGCTAAACATGGGGCCAACACAACATTTTGCCAGGGCAAAACTCCTTCCAGTCAGAGAAGAGCACACTTCCCGAGCAGGGTGGCATGGCAAAGGGGAGAAGAAATGTCTGACCCCTGTGGATGTGCTGAGACTGATTCGGGGTAACTGTCAGAGCAATGTAAAGGGCCAGAGCAGCAGAGCCATGTCCTGCAGGCAAGTGCCAGTGTTCCAGACAACACTTCCACTCCAGCCTCCATCCATCACAAAGAACAGTAACAGAGCCCTGGCAGGAATAAACACCAGGCTCTTGCAGAGCTACGAGCCTTCCTGGGATGGAGCAGTCTTCCCATCCCTCAGGTACCCCTGGAAACCGAGTTCCCATGAAAGGAGCCAAGCAAGAAAAAGTATGATACTGAGCTAAAATAGCACATTGTCCTCTGATCCAGCAGTGTGAACTGCACATGGTGCACACCTCGTCTGCTGCAGTCCAGCAGCATGTGTGAGTCAGAAGCCCTAACACATCCTCACTTTGAAGAAGAGGCATAAAGAAACACTGAATGTGAGAATCTCCCTTGGAAAAGGATCTGCTGGCAAAAGAGCAAGTGCCACAAAGCAGGGCTTATTAACAGGCACATAGTAAAGCATTATCCAGGTTTGCCCTTGATCTTTAATTCATAACTTAAGTGGATAATGCATTTCCATCGCAAGAAGTCAAAGGCGCAGCAGAGCTCTCGCAGCTGCTGCGCGCGTGAGCACGGGCACGGCACGAGGAGGCGAATCCAACAGGACACACGCGACAGTGTGTTTTCCATCACGCAATGTACAGAGTGTGGGCACAGCTTCTGCCAAGGAAGCTGTCCCCTCCTTCTGCCACACACCAAATCCACAGCAAATGCAGTGTGCAGCGTTCTAGGCTTTCAAAACCTCACAGCAAGGGAAAAACCCATGTTCCACCGATTTAGATCACGATCGCTGGGCATCTGGTAATGTTCTGACCCAGAACTCAGATATCCAATGCTGACAAATCCTTTCACAGGCACTGTTCAACAAAGCCTCCCGCTGTAAAAACTGCCCTGGGGGGCTTTGGCACTGCAACAGACCCAGCACGTACAGGGGGACAGAGACTTCGTGTGCTCACAGCAGCATCCCAGGACTAAACTCAAACAAATAATGGCTGTTTTCAACCACCCGTCTGTAAGGGACTCCCCTTCCTTCTTGCACTTTCTGCCATAGCAAAGCCTGCTTCAGCAGGCTTCCTCCTCCCTCCTTTCTCCCACACTTCCAGAGTTGTTTCAATGACACTTTTACTCAGAGTGTGGTTCAAATTATTCTGTTATTAACAGTGGTGTAATTTCAGTGTTACAGGTAAAGCAAAGTCTGAACCTCCCTGGATAGCACTGTCATGACCTCAGCACTGTGTAACCCGTGTTAGGAGTATCTTTGCTCTTCCCATCTTGGAGCCATTCTGGCCTTTTGCAAAGCCAGACCCCCTGTGCAGGTAACCCCTTAACTATGACACTGCAGAACTGGAGGATTGGTGCCTGTGGAGGTTGTACCTCTTCAGGCAGGGCTGGGTGATCCAGGCTGTCCACTGACACCCTTGCCGGGTCCCCCAGGAAGGCAGCAGTGGTGTGGCTGCAGTGTCACAGCTTCC